TCGAGTCCTAGAGGGAGCACTCTCTTAACTGCCATGTCGCAAACACGTTAAGCGCTCTTTGGCAACTCTCTCAGGGGCGTGACGTTTGGTCCGTCCCACCCAAAATCTCACCCTCTTGGTTTTGGGCCGCTTTCCCGTGCAGCCGGCACGCCAGGTCGTCCGCGTCGATCTCCACGTAGAAGTCCATCGTCGTTTGGATGGAAGCGTGGCGCATCAACTGCTGCAGGTCCGCCGGCATCACCCGCTTGGCCCACCTGGTGCCGAACGACCGCCGCAGGTCGTGTGAGGTCGCCGTCTTCCCCTTGCGGTTGACAATGATCCCCGCCCGCCTGCCCGCCTCCGACATCTGGTGAACGACCGTGTCGCGGTGCAGCCGAACGCCTGCGACCAGCCCCTTGCGCTCGGCGGACGGAACCTTCTGGAGGATCTCGGCGAACTCCGGAGCGATCGGGAGCAGCCGGTCCTTCGCGCCCTTCTCCCCCTCGGAGAGGATTCGAAACATTGGGAACCGGCCTTTGAGGCAGACCGAGAAGTCCGCCTCCCAGTCCCAACTGAGCGAGACCGCCTCCGCCACCCGCAGCCCACCCCAGTACATGGAGTTGGCCAGGGTGATCCACTGCTCGGCGTCGGCGGGCCGGACCTTGCGGAGCGCCAGCACGAAGCGGTCGAACTCCTCGGCGTTGACCGGTCGGCTCCGCATCTTCGACCGGCGTCCCGCCGCTCGCTTCGACTTGCGGAACCGCGGGGCTTCCTTCAGCAGGCCCATGTCCACCGCCCAGTTCAACGCCGACCTCAGTGTTGTTAGATAGCTGGCGATCGAGCTCTCCGACAGCTCCCGGCGGCGGAACTCGCCAACCAGGTGCGAGAGCGCTGTCGCGTCGACATCAGTCAGCACGATCGGCTGGATGATCGTCTCGACGTGGTTCGCCACGGTGCGCCACGAGTCGCCATAGTCCTTGCTGTGCATCGACAGGTGCCGCTCGCGGTAGGCGCGATCGAAGAGCGACCACTCCACCTCGCTGTCGTGGGTCAGGTCGTTGCTGAGTTCTACCTCGAGTTCCGCCGCCTCCCTGTCCGCACGCGACTTGAAGCTCTTGCGGGCGGGCACGCTCGAGGTTTTCTCGCGCACCCGCCCGGTTGGCTCGGTCCAGCGCAAGACATACTTTGTCCGGCCACTCAGCAGCAGCGCCTTCACGCGGTAATGGTGGGATCGTCCCACGACTGTTTCTCCTCTAGGTCGATGTAACGGTTCCATGCCCAGCCAGGGATCAACCACTTGCCGGACACGACCTCCTTGGCGTAGACGAGCTTCGGTTCGAGCAGTTTCTCCCGGATCACCCGCTCGCTGATGTTCACCTCCCGGGAGAGGGCGAACAGGGTGTACGTAACGTCGGGGTAGACCCTGCCGGAGAACCCCTGGCGCAGGTTCTGGGCGGGCTTGCTCTCTCGTGCTGGCATGACGGCTTCAGTCCTTGACACCCGCCCTGGCCGTTCGCAGAATGCGCGTACCGGCTATGGGCGGCCCATTTGGGTCGTTTCGAAAGTTGCCGCTCCCCCTGGCCGCAAACCTGACGGGAGTGGCAGTCCAAGGGCGCCCTCTTGGGTCGCCCGCCGTAATCTAGCGATCGTCGAGACGGGGTGATGTCAGTCACCCCGTTCTCATGCGCGATCCTCAGGGGCAGGTCAGGTGATGAGACACCTCCTGCCCGACGCGGGCGGCTGCGTGACGCGGCCGATTCGCCGCGTCTCCCAGGCAATTCTCTGAAGTGGTGAGCGCCGTGCTGGCGCTGCCAACCGCCAGATTGGGGTGCACCTCTGCTGCACGTAGCAGTCGGTGAAATCAACCGAAGTGCGCAGCCGCGCACAGCTAGACTTGGCGTAACCGCCATGGCGTTTCCCGGGTTCTCGCTTTGGGAAATGTCCGTGGTCCCGACCCGCAGCTGCAACTGCGGGTCGGGACGCCTTTTGAACGAGCAGCGTCGATTGTGAGCGCCGCCCGGCGGTTGTCAACGCGCCGCGACGACGCTGATCGCGTCGAATGCGGCCACGCCCTCCACGGAAGCCCTTGGGAGGGCAGGAGATAGACAAGGGGGCAGGCGGTAGAGAACGCGTGGCGTTTTTCTGTTCCGAAACCTTGCTGTGCGCACGACTGCGCTCGCTCTTCTGACAGTCCATCGGTTGCCCCCGGTTGCTGCAACCGCGCGCCGCTGCCTAACCCAGACGCGGCGTGCGGTGGGTGGATGCGTACCTCGCTCTATGCGCAGCGACAGCGCAGGCGGCGCACGGCGCATCCGAGGGGACTGGGTTAGGGCGGCCCCGCCCACTCGCGGCTGGCTCCGCGGCAGGCGGTAATCTGACGGACCATCTTGCCAGAGTCCGTGGGGGCTAAGCCGCCCCGTGCAGCGTGATGGCGCGGGCCTGGTGGCTCGCGCGGCGGAGGTAGCCCTTCCGCTCTAGCGCCTTAAGGTGACACAGCACGCCGTTGGGGCTCCGGATGCCGAGCAGCGCCGCCAACTCGCGCAACGTAGGCGCGTAGCCGTGCGTGGTGATGTAACGCCGCAGAGCCACTAAAACACGGGCTTGGCCGCGGCTGAGAGGAGAGTTCGGCATCAGAAAAGGCCCCGTCGACGTGGTGTACTGGCGTATAGGTGACGGGCCCTAGGATACTCACCCCAATTGGCAAAGCAACCCACAATATGTGCACATTTTTTGCGCGGGCACGCTAGCGATTGGGGGCGGCCTATTTGCTCGTGTGAGAGCCGATGCACGCGCAGAGTGGACGTCGCTGCGGCAAGGTTCGGGGATCTAAGCCGAGGCGGCGAAGCCGCTGTCCTGGAGCCGCAGAGGTGGGGTATACCGACTGCAACTAGAGGCTCGCTCTAGTGACGGCGGTTGGGCACACCGCGGCGCAATTGACTCGGGCGTAACTCCAGGCGGGGGGTCCAACCGATGCAAACTTGCCGGATTAATTCTAAACGCCGTTATGTTCATCGAGCGCAGTTGCATGACCGCTAGAAACTACCTTGGACGAAAGAACGAATGGCTCCAAGGTAGGCACCCCTATTTGGTTGATGCCACAAATCATGGGGTTATTCGCTAAATGAGACCACCTCCGGATGTACGGCGCGTCGGGGATCGCTGTACATCGACGTGCCGTTCAACTATAAGCGGATCAAGCAGGCTCATCTCTGATACCAGCGGACATTTCCACTTCCTCAGACGCTGAGACTCAGATGCAAAAACTTCTCGAATCCCAAATAACAACAAGTGCATTCACAGATTGTTGGGACGCTACTTCACCGCCGTACGAGTTGTTCCTCTCAGAGCTTGCTCGGAACTTATCCAAAGACTTGGCAGGGAGTATCCAGGAGCTTTCCGCGTCTATTCGGTCGTGGGGAGAGAACAGGGTGCGAGTCGATGGCGACTTCACCACAGAGGAAGGCAGCAAGACCTTTTACGCTGAGTTTGTCTGGTTGCCATCTCTAGGCGCCTATCGCGGGAAGGCAGAGGTTCGCGATAAGATTCCGGAGCCGTCCCCAAAGTCGATTGACCAGTTCATTTTGGCTATTGATGCAATTCAAGACGAAGACGAGTCGACGTTCGAAGGACAGGTACTCGAAGCAACTGAAGGTGTCGACGATTCGTCCGAAGACTTGCCCCTTTCCTACGCCTCTGTCTTCGCTTTGTTCGAGAGGTTCCCAGGGGAAGACTTCGGGAATCCGGGGCCACTGGTTCACATGCTCGAGGGAAGGGGTGGGTATGAAAACGAACTGGCCAACTCGCTAGAACGCAAGCCAAGTGTTCCTGCGGTCACTCTTGTGAATCGAATTCTGAACGGTGAGTTGCCAAACGTCGACAGAGCCCGCTGGATGACTGCTCTCCACGACGCGGCCACCTCGGACACAGCTGAGGCGGAAGTCAAGGACTTGGCACAAGAACTCCTTGAGCATCAGCAAGAGAACGCTAGTGATGCCCACTAGACACCGGGCGTCCAGGCGCCCGACTGAGGCGTTCCGTGCATAAATCGATTGGAAGTAGCGGACATGCGGCTTGATCTACGAAAGTCCTCGAAAACCCTACGCAAGCACCTAGCCCAGCGCGTGCGCGATTATCCTCTGTATATCAACGAAGGCCCAGGCAAGGATGAAGCCCCAATTAGCCAGATCACCGTTGGCTATGAGTTCGATCAATCTGGCTGGGTCGCGATCGTTATTGACACGCGTCCACAAGCGAAGCCCGATGGCGAATGGAACTCCTACATTGAGCCGAACTTGATCGACTTCCCCGACTGGATTCGAGCGATCGAAGATTTAGAGGAGAACGGGGCCGCAATCAGCGTGACTCTGCCCGATGGGACGAGGGCTAGCTACGACGGTGATTCCTCAATGGAAGACGTGGCCCAATGCTTTGGACAGACCATCCGCGACGTCTTGATAGACGCCCAAGAAGATGGCTTGTTCGCGTCTCTACCGCTCGCGGGCGATTGCATCTTAGTCGTTGAGGAGCAGAACGGGCATTACGGCTGGTCGGACCGCGAGGCAGTAGGGCCAGATAGTGAAGAAGCCTACCTTGCATACTTGGATGGAGACGTGTCATCAAAGACGAGCCACGGTCGGATCGTCCATTGGGTCAGCGTGCTAGAGCGAATCGCATCGGGTAACGAGGCGGGTTCTGAGTGGTCTTTTCTTGCCTCAGATCATGCCATTGAACGGTTGCAGGAACTTGGAAAGTCAGCGGTGGTTCCAGCCCTAAAGTTTGTACGGAAGTGGGCGAGCAAACCGGAATTCGATGCCGATCGTCCCAAGCGGAAGATCAACGAGTTGCCAATGCAGACCCCTACGACAGATGTGCTCATGCTGGTCTGCGAATCGGCATATGCGACTCACGAGGTTGAGTCGCTGCTCCGTGATATCCTTCGCCGATCCATTGCTGCGAATCGAGGCAGGAAACTGTGGGGAATCTTGCCCGTTTGGGCGGGCCGTTGCCTGTGGCAACTTTTTGACGCGTACCCAGAGCCCAATCAGCATGACAGCACGAACGAGCTCTTGAATCGAGACGAGTACACAAGAGTCCGCCCAGTCCGCCCAGTCCGCCCAACCAAGCGTTGAGCATGCGTGTGGTGGATCATAGACTCACAATGCACGCCGTCAAGTTTTGTAGCGATCCGGGTTCTCTTCGAGCAGACCTCATTTCAACTTGGGGAGTTTGCGCAGCTCATGATAGATCTTCTTAACATCCCGATGGGACCCTAAACCGAGGTGTTCCAGTTTGAGTAATCGTCGGGGGCCATTCGATAGTGCGCCTTTCCCTCACGGACTGGCATGCTCAGCCCTTAGACCGAGACCTCATGCAGGCAGAACCCAAGGCCAGCTCGTGCTGAGCTCGCTCCCACCGAAGGCGTTTCGCCATTGCTCCAAAGTGCGATCGGTTGCATCGGCCGCTGCGCCGGGGTGCGGCAGCAAACTCGCTGAGGTTGTCACAGCCGCCTTCTGAACCGGGACTTCTGAAGGCGCCGAGATTGGGCACGCCTCTGTAAGTTAGTCTGATGCACAATCCCGGTCGGCTGGTCCATCTACTCTCAGGTTTCAATTCCTTGAGCTGCATTCGGTCGATACGCGGGGTCAGGCCCCGAATACCGAACCCTTGTTGGTACGTTTCACCCTCTTAAATGAGTTGCCGGCGCCCTCGACTTCGTTCGGCCTCGTTGAACGCACCATGCACGAACTACGAGCATCACTACTACTCGCGGCCGGATTCCACTTTCTTTAAGCCTTCCTCCAACTTTTTGATCTCCTCCGGTGACAACTCAGGTCGATCGATCGCAATCGTCAACTTGTTGAACTCAGCGGTGAGCGGGAAGGGCGGCTGGTAGTCTGCGTCGTTCACGCCAGTGATCGTGTCGGAGCCGATGTCGAATGCTTCATCCCATTGCAGGATGATGGGGATGGTCTTTTCCATCATCTTGGTGGCGACAACCTTGCCGTCAACTTTCAGCGTGCCGGTGCCCCCCTTGCCGATGCCGGAGAAGCTGTTGTATGCGATCGTGCCCTGTCCAAGCCCGTCGTAATCGAAGTCAAACTCGAGTGTGTGCTGACCTGGCGCGAGCGCCTCTGGGCCTTCCCACTTGATGCGTTCCAGATCCAACAGATTCCAACAGAACACTGGCTTGCCTTCGAGCAGGTAAAAGCCAAAGCCCGCGAAGCGGCCGCCGGAGGTCACGATCATGCCCTCGGCGCCGCCCTCCGGCACGGTGATGTCTGCCGTGATCGTGTAAGAGGTGTCGAGCACGTAGGGCGCGTCGCCCTGGGGCAAACCGGTCATCGGCCGCGTGTAGACGAGCGTGTCGCGACCGGCGGTGAGACTCGGGCGCTGCGCCACGATTCGGGCGGCCATCGACGCGTTCATGGGAAGCACCTGGTACTTCTTGGCTTCCTCCAGGAACATCGCCCGCATCTCTTTGACCTTGTCGGGATGCTGTGCCGCGATGTCTTCGGTCTGATTCCAGTCGGTATTCAGGTCGTAGAGCTGGAACACTTGGTTATTGAGTGGGTCTGTGTTGGCCACCTGGAACGCCTGCCATGGAGCGCGATTCACCTTGGTGCTCATGATCCAGCCATCGTGGTACATGGCCCACTGACCCATCATCTCGAAGTACTGGGTCGTGTGCCGTGACGGTGCGTCCGCATTCTCCCTATCGAAGGTGTAGGCGTAGCTTGTTCCCTCGATCGGCTTCTGCTTGATGCCATCCACGTACTCGGGGGCGGGGATGCCGGTTACTTCAAGTATGGTTGGGGTGTGGTCGATCACGTGCATGAACTGCTCGCGCAATCCACCCTTGTCCTTGATGCGTGCTGGCCACGAGATCACCATGTTTTGGTTGGTGCCGCCCAAACGCGAAGCGTTCTGCTTAAACCAGTCGAAGGGCGTGTCGAAGGCCCACGACCAACCGGCCGACATGTGGTTGTAAGCGAGCTCGGTGCCCCAGGCATCGTGAAACTTCATTTGCACGTCGACCGGGGGCTCGACCGCATTGAAGAACGCCACCTCGCTAAACGTCCCCTCGGGGCCGCCCTCCGCGCTGGTGCCGTTGTCGCCGTTCTGGTAGATCACTAGCGTATTGTCGAGCTTGCCGAGGTCCTCGAAAGCCTGAATGACCCGACCGATTTCGTGGTCGC